TATTGTAACGAATTAAAGAATTAACTGTCTTAAACAAATTTATTTTAACAATACTTCACTATCACAACTAATTTATTTACACCACTCAGTAACTAACGCTTAATTTATCTTCACCGTTTGTTAACCGCTCGATTCGCTTTCTTGGTACAGACTCCTCTTCGGGACGAAGAGCGACGTTTTTATATCGTCAACGAACGTTCCGGATCCCTCTGCGGATTTCGGGACCCATCCGGAGCTTTCGCGGTATTTCGTGATGCGTCATGCGTTTGCTGACTGGGACATCGGTCAGGGCCGGCTTCAGATTCATTACAATATTATATATAGGTGTCATTCTATTGCAGAGTAATATTATTCACATTCCACGATTTTGTGATTTTTGTAATTGATTTAATTTGTTCTGATTCAAGAGATATAAGAGAGTCCCGCAAAAATCGTAATGAGGTTTTATTATGCAATTTATGAGTATACTTTTGTTTGCGTGAGTTTGATCACAGGTCATTATTATCAATTACAAGATGATGCTAAACTATCACGGAAAAAATGTAGACATATGTTCTGCTACCCGTGCGAAGCTATATCTTTAAGGTGTGTTTACATCTGAACGCGAAAACGAATGAGGCATGTGAAAACGAGCCGAACGTTTGATGTAGACGACAAATAGTCAAAAGCTATCCGTAATTGTCGCTACTTCCAAGATAATTCGCATACAATACGTCTAGATGTTAGGTTAGGTTAGGTCCAAAGTGAGTGGGTCTATTTGACCCTCTACCGCAACCCGCAAGGGCTCATTGTGGATCACACCTATTCACACTCGACCAAATAAACCCAGCTTTTCAACGAAGCCGATTAGTTTGTATGGCGAGTGGTCTTTCAGGTTAGATGGTAAGAGTACGGCTGTGCCGAACTCTAAAAACCTGATTCTGTCCCCAGCGGGTCAGGCACAAAGTATGTGCTCTGCTGTTTCATCATTTTCAAAACAAAGGCGACACACACTGTCTTCCAACAGTCCCGTTTAGATGTAGACGTGCATGAATTATTTTCGTTCGTAGGCTAGCGAGGCAACGCTATCACCTTGCATACTTCTGGAACAATTCTTGAAACTGACTGCTTTGATACATCAAAAACGTATTGCAAATAAGTGTCTGAGTCGCTACTCGTCAAAAACCTCAACGTAATTGTCAACCAATGGTCTATTACAACGAGTATCTATATTCTGTTTTGAAAACGATATACGGTAGTCGAAAAGCTCTAACACCGTATGTGAAAGCTATTCTTTGAGAGACATTGGTGCTGTCATTGTTCAATTATGGTGATTTCTTTCATGGTCTTTGACTAACAAGCCATTATCAAAACAAAATTCGAAAGGTATAAAATTCATGTTTGAGACTAATTTTTGGAATCCGTAGACGTTAGAGAATATCACATAAATTATGAGACATCGGATGCTTGAATATAGCTAATAGGAGACATCTACATAGTGCAAATCCCTTTCATATGATTATCACGAACAAAACCTCGTGGTAGTTATCTACACGGACAAATTATTTTCGTTCCGACATCCACAAATTGAATGTGAGGTTCAAAGGTACCTTGATATTGATGTTTTGTAACATTTTACCTAGTTTTTAGTTTATTTGTTTGTGTTAAGTTGATATTCTTTTGCAGTCAGATGGGCTGAAATCGCTTATGTGAGTCATGTTAAAAAACTGCAAAAGCTCTCATGTGTTCACTGTAACCTGAAATAATCATGTAGTTTAAAAATCACAAACCTTTGTTTCATTTCTTCTCTTAAATAGATAGAGACATATTTGACTATAATAATAAAATTAAGTGAATAAGTGCCGTTTGTCTTCCCTTCAAAATATTATGTTTTTTTGCTCTCCTGTAAAATTCACATTTCAGCATATAGAATATTTTTCCACGGCAGCGACGATATGCAACCTCCTGCTGCCGGTGAAGATGTGCCTCCGCAGCCGATGTCCTGGAATCCAAATGGAATGACGAGACAAGTGTGCTGTCGTCAGCAAAGCAATATTTTGGATTCTTGTTTTTTTCCAATAAGTCGTTGATAAATAATAAAAAGAGGGTTGGAGACAATATAGATCCTGGGGAACACCAACAATAGATTGCTTTCGCTATTGAGAAGTATTGCTCATATCCTACTGACTGCGCTAATGAGTAGAACTTACCTATATCAGTTTCCTCAATTACTTTTCTTCCACAATAAGGAATAGGAGGATATAACCGCAAAGTTTCGAGAATAACCAATTCTAAATACTTCATTTGTTGCAGATGCCCATATGTCGTTTCAATGCCACTATTTAAACTTCCGAATATTTCTATTTGTTCCTCTATTATTTTTTCCTACAAACTAAAATATATAGGAAATACACTAACAATAAAATCAACTATTTTCACCTGAATATCTGGATGATACGCTAATGCATACAAGGCGAAAGACAATGCGATGGCTGTAGTATCATAACCCTAAAGTATAAATATAAACAAGTTAGCACTCCCGAAGAATATATGTTGATATTGGAAAAATAAAGAAATATGAATTGAAAACAAAAGAGCATTTTTCTCAGTAGTTGTAATGAAGGCATGATTTCTGAGGGTTGTCGTTCATAAGATAGCGATAGTTGGTTACCGGAAACAAATTTCAAAATATTTTCCAGCATTTTCCTAACAACAGTGAGGAAATATTCAGTTCGTTATTGAATACAATTGACGTAAGTTAATGAAATACTCATAAAATCAAGAATTTTCACTGATATT